TGCGCCTCGGCCGCCCGCTGTCCCGCCGCCTTTCCTTTTCCAGCCCGGCCTGGGCCTTCAACGCGGCAGTGGCGCTGGCGGTGCTGGTGGCCGCGGGCCTCGTCGTCTCGGGCGTCTACATCTTCTTCCTCATCCCCCACGCCGCCTCCTCCGACCCCGTGCGGCCCCAGCTCGTGGCGCTCGCCCCGGCGCCCGGGTTCTCCTGGTTCCCGCCACGGCCCGCACCGGGGACACCCTGGACGCCGCGCCCCATGGGCCCTGACCAGGACAGCGCCCTGCCAGGGGCTGCGGAGGACGTGCTGGAGCCCGAGGAGGGCTCCGAGGACACAGCGGAGGCTGAGGGGATGCTGGACAGGCCCCCGGAGGGCACGTGGGGGGCAGAGGCTGGCCCGGGCTGAGCTCCGCGGGGACGGGGTGGGAGGACCGTGTGGGGGCCACGGTAAATGCATCTGTGCTGCACGTCCTCTCTCCAGGCCTGGGGACCTCGTGTCCTGGTGGGGCCCTGACCAAGAGGCAGCCTGGGGATGCCTGTGGGCCCTCCAGGCTCAACTAGCTCCTTGATCCTAGGGGAGGCCTTAGCAAGGTGCATGGAAATTACCCATTTCTCTGAGGGGAGACCTAGTGGGATCATTCCAGGCATCATCACCACGGAGCAGGGACCCTCTCAAGGAGCAACCCCTGCCTTCATTCCCACAAGGGCCCTCTGGGAGCACCCGTGATCCCAGTCACTGTGGGCATCCAGCTGAGGCTGCCCTGACCCCCATCTTTGAAAAGGTCCTTCTGGGAGGCACTCCTAAACCTCGTCTCCGTGGGAGTCCAGCTAGGGAGCCCCTCTGACCAACATCGTGCAGGTACCCTGCTAGGGGCACCATCGGCCCCTACGGAGGGTCCTGCTGAGTGCCCCCGCAGTCATCATCAGACCCCTGGGGGAGCATCCTCAGCTAGCAGCTAGGGCTGAAGGCTCTGATTTACTCACCCTGTGGGCGCACTGCGGCGGCTGGAGGCCCCTATGTTTGGTGGCAAAGCTGCTACTGCTGTCGGTCTCTGGTCATACCCCCCTGCCTGGCCCCTTGCAGTCCTCCCCACCCCCACCAAGGCTGTGGAGCTTATCTTCCCTCTGCTGCATGCAGGTTGGGTCTGGGTGGGATCCAGCTGTTTCCATGCTGGTCTTGGGTTGTCTCTCTGCACACATGGCTGGGGCTTGGGCTTGAAGGGGCAGGGGTGGCCTGGCCAGGGCTGAGGAGGGACACATGGGGCCTGAGCCTCTAAGATTAGCTCCCACTTAGTCCTGAGCACCAATTTGCAAATGGAAGCCTCAACTACTGCTGTGGGTCATGGCTTCTGGGATCCTCCTGACACGCTGTGGGGCAGCTGTGGTCACCAAGGCTCAAAGACAAGGTTGCCCTCTGGGTCAGCGCCACATGATTTTGGGGGTGGCTGCTCCTGGGTCTCCCTGGCCTGCTAGGAGACATCCTGGCCTCTCCCTAGGTGCTAGAACCCCCATCACCCCCTTTTCTACTCATCAATTTCTCGGGGCCAGTTATGACCCCTCCTCCTCCAGAGCTCCATCAACCTTTTTTGGCATCGCTGTTATTCCCCTAGGTGAAGCCTCAGCCCTGGACAGCAGCCTACAGGGAGGGCGGCTCTTGGGTTCCTGTCCTCCTCCTCTCAGAAGCCTTCCTGGGTTAGTCATCACAGGCAGATGGCTGCCACCCTCTACACAAACTGAACACAGGCCTTCTGTATCCCCCCAGGCTCTGGAGCCCACATCCTGTCTCACTTCACCCAGGGTCAGGGTTCTGTGTTTTGTGGGTGGGAGTGGGGCATTTTCCAGAGAGAAATGTGACTTCTGTGGGGCTGGAGGCTCTTGTTTGATTTGTTTATATGTGTGTCCTCAGTGCCTAGCATACAGGAGGTGCCAGATAGTTTTCTGGGGAGTGATAGCCTTGCAGGTGACCAAGAGGCAGCCTGGGGATGCCTGTGGGCCCTCCAGGCTCAACTAGCTCATAGCCACCCTGATCTAGGCATGTCAGTGGAGCTCCTTTTGATGGGAGGAGCTGCTTCCGGTTGGGAAGCCAGAGGGGGACCATCAGGACATCAAAGGGGGGACGACTTGGTCAGGCGGGAGCAGGGTTGGTGGTCTAGATTAGTTTTCGCTGACTGCTGCAACAAATAACTGAGTTCCTTAGAACAACACACATTAATTATCTTATAGTTCTGCAGGCCAGGAGTCTTGAAATCATTTTTACCTCTAAAGTGAAGTGTCCTCAGGGCTAACTCCTCTGGAGAGTCCAGGAGAGAATTTCCTTAGCTTTTCATCTTTTAGAGCTACATTCCTTGGCTTCTTCCTCTTCCTTCATATTTTGTTTTATTTTTTAAAGTAATCTCTACGCCCCATATGGGGCTCAAATTCACAATCCCAAGATCAGGAGTCCCATGCTCTACTGACTGAGCTGACCAGGCACCCTGTCTTCCTCTATCTTCAAAGGCAGCAGCATCGCATCTTCAAAGCTCTGACTGTCCTGCCTCCCTCTTTCACTTATAAGGATACTTGACAACATTGAGCCTGCCCCGATAATCCAGGATAATTTCCCCAGATCGACAGCTTAATTTAATCACATCTGCAGAGTCCATTCTGCCATTTTAGGTAGCAGATTCACAGATTCTGGGGATTAGGATCTGGCGATCTTTGGGGGCCATTATTCAGCTTACCATGGGGTCTCAGATATTCCTCTTCTCACCCCTTCCTTCCTCCACCCCAGGCTGGGAGAGCGGGGAGGGGCAGAAGTTGGGCCCAGCCAGGGGAGTCAGAAAGGGGCCCTTAGCTGGTGGTGCACAGAAGGGGGGAAAGAAAATGCTCCCTGCCTGAGGGTGTTCAAGAAAGGCTTCCTGAAAGGAGACCTGTACCTTCGAAATAGCTGGCATCAAGGAGAGGGACCTGGGGCAGTAAGGGGGTGGCTGAGGGCAGTGGGCAGGGCTGACCCCTCCCCTCGTCCTAACTAGCTTCCTCCTAGGGGCTAGGGAAAGTATGGCTTCTCCATTTTCCCAACTGGGAGACTGAGGCCCCAGTCTCTCCTCCCTTAAAATGAGGCTGATGATAGGGCGCCTGGGTGGCTCAGTTGGTTAAGCGACTGCCTTCGGCTCAGGTCATGATCCCGGAGTCCCTGGATCGAGTCCCGCATCGGGCTCCCTGCTCGGCAGGGCGTCTGCTTCTCCCTCTGACCCTCCCCCACTCATGTTCTCGCTCTCTCTCTCTCTCTCAAAATAAATAAATAAATCTTTAAAAAAAAAAATGAGGCTGATGATAGATCCCAGGGGTCCTGAACATTCCTGTCTGCTAATTACTACCTAGATGCCTGCCCACCTACTGCCCACGAACAAAGGGGTTGCCGAAAACCACCCTGGGGCCAGTGTGATGGGGGCCTCCTCCCCATCCTTGCCTACCAGCCTCTGGGGCCACCCTCCCTGCCCTCCCTCTGCCTACTTCAGCCCTGCTGCATAACCACCTGCCGTGGGCTTGCTCCTCCTCCTAGGTCCTGGTGCCTGTGAATACCCAGAGAGGGGGAGTCAATCTCAGTGCCTGGCATGGTGCCAGAGATGCCAGACCTTGGTTCTCTCTTCTGTAAAATGGGTGACAATAAACACCTTACTTGCAGGGAAAATTAGTTAATCTACAAGTATTTATTGAGCACCTGCTATATATCAAGGGGGCACTGGGGACACCTCAGGAGCAAGGAGGGCCCTCACATGGCACATGACATCCAGAAAGCTGAGCAGAGGAGCCATCAGCTTGGCCACACTGCCTTCCCTGTCAAGCTCGTGGAGTCCCCAGTTCCCCAAACCTTTCCCAGGTTCTCCTCCAGCTCTGCTCCCTTTGCCCCCGGAGGGACGCCAAGTGCTCCATTCTACAGGGATCTGGCCAGTCTCTCCTCATGAGAGTCAAAGAGGCCCCTGCCCACACCTCACCCGTCACCAGCCATCGGGTC